CTTTCTTTCTTTCTTTCTTTCTTTCTTTCTTTCTTTCTTTCTTTCTTTCTTTCTTTCTTTCTTTCTGGTACTTGGGTTCTAACTCAGAAACCTGCACTTTCGAGGCAGGTGCAGCACCACTGAGCTAAATTCCCAGTTCTATTTTCTCGATATTAATGTAGTGATTCTAGCTCTTTTATAGTTTGTGTGATGTATATTTTCCCATCCTTTAGTTGTTGAAACTAGTGTGTCTCTTGTAGAAACACACTCTTTTTAATGCAATCTGACAATCCTGACTTCTATTTGTAGTATTTAATCTAGTTACACTTAGTGTAACTATTAAAATGGTATTACATCTATCATTTTGAAACTTGCTTTCTATATACTTTCACTTTTGTTCCCCCATTGCTACTATCTTTTGTGTTAAATAAACACTTTCATACATACTATTTAGATTCTTTTATTAGTTTTCTTTGTTTTAGTAATTTTTAAAAATAGATTATTTTATAGTAGTTTTAGAGTAACAGATTATTTTGGAGTAAAACTTTTTCACTAATTTACATTTTCACCAAAAGTATAGAAGAGTTCTTTGCAGGAAATAACATGTTTAAAGGGAAACTTAAGCAGTGGCACTGGTATAATTGAGAGACTTATGGTGTAGTACGTTAGCTATGGTCACTGCTATGCTACTCACTACTGACAAAAATTCTGAATGCAAACATTACTCCTTCTTAAACATGAGCAAAATAAAGTTCATAGAAATTAAAGAAGTTGCTCAAGGTCATGATTAACAGGTGATAAAGCCATGGTCTAAACCCAACCATCAAACTTTCAAACTCAATTGTTTACACCAGAAGCTAAAGATATTTTTCTGGAAAGGATCAGAAAGTAAATACTTTAGGCTTTATGATTTTCAGAATTTATTTCCCAATTTTACTTTCTGTTGAGAAAGACTTCAAAGAAATCAAAATTCAAACAGCAGTCTCTGAATTCATCTTTCTGGGATTTCCCAAGCACTTTAAACTGAAAGAGTTATTCATCCTTGTCTTCTCTTGGAAATATCATAAAAATCAGTCTTGCAGTCCACACGCCAATGTATTATTTCCTCAGCAACCTGAGCTTCTTGGACATTTGCTACACATCTGTCACCATGCCAGTCATGTTGGGGAACTTCTTCCGGGAGAAGAAGACCATCTCCTACCAAGGCTGCCTTTCCCAGATCTTTTCCTTTGTGACATGCGCTGGTGCTGAGGGTGTCTTATTGGCTGTGATGGCTTATGATCGCTATGTGGCCATTTGCCGCCCTCTTCAATATCCAGTGCTCATGAGTGTGAAGGTCTGTGTTTGCCTGGTGACTGGGTCCTGGCTATGTGGGCTGGTGAATTCTGCGACACACACAGTGCTGGCAGCCACACTCACTCTGTGTGGGCCCAACGAGATCAGCCACTTTCTCTGTGACATCCCATTGCTCCTGAAGCTGTCCTGCTCAGACACTTCTGTCAATGAGTCTGTGCTCCATGTGGCCAGTGCCACCATTGGCCTGAGCCCCTGCCTGTTTACTGCCGGGTCCTACATACTCATCATCTCAGCCATTGTTAGGATCCCTTCTGCTCAAGGCAGGAGCAAGGCCTTCTCCACCTGCGCATCCCACCTGACCGTGGTGGTGGTCTACTTTGGAACAGCCAACTTCAACTATGTCAGGCCCAGTGAAGGCTCCTCTTTGGACATGGACATCCTGGTCTCTGTTCTCTTCTGTGTGGTGACCCCCATGTTGAACCCCATCATTTACAGCCTGAGAAACAAGGAGGTCAAGGGTGCCCTGAAGAAACTGATTAGAAATTATGGATTCTCTAGTGAGATCAGCAGCTAGATAATGTTTTTCCTTCTGGAAAATTTGTTTCTTTAATTTAATTTTTTTTTGTACCTGGGATAGAATTTGAGTCCTTGCGGTTGTGAGGCAAGGGGCAGAACCATTGAGCTAAATCCCCGGCCAATTTAATTTTTAAATTTTATCAGTATATGTTTGCAATTCATACAGTTTACAATCATCTTAGAGAGTGGTTACATGTACATGTTACAGCTTGTTTCTTTTTTTTGAAAAATCCACTTCCTCTATGTTCCCCCTTGCCTCTCCTCCTCTAATTCCCCTACCCCCTTTTACGTACTTATTGATTTTTTTTGTCTTAGCTCATCTTATGGCACAATGTTTAGATTAATTGAGATTGTTAGGTTCCTGTACATGGCACAATTTATTCTTCTCATTTCCCCTTCCCTTCCTCCTTACCCCATACCCTTATTCCCTTGGACCACTTCCCTATTGCAAGAGGTTCATCCTCTCATCCCTTTTACCCATCCTTTATCATTTTCTTTGTTTGTACTTTGAGTCACTCAAATGAGAGATACCATATGGTTTTAAGCTTGTGTGTCTGGTTTATTTTACTCAACATTATATTTCCAGGTGTATCCATTTTCCTACAAATGTCTCAAATGTGTCATTCTTTATAGCCAAGTAGTATTCCATTGTGTATAGATACTACATTTTCTTTATCCAATCATCTGTTGATGGATATAGGCTGCTTCCAGGATTTAGCTATTATGAATTGTGCTGCTGTAAACACTGGTATGCATGTCTTGTTGTGATATGATGACTTAACCTCTTTGGTGAAGACACCTAGGAGAGGGATAGCTGGGTTGTATGGAATTTCTAATTTCAGTTCTTTCAGAATTCTCCATACTGATTTTCATTAGGGTTGTACTAGTTTGCATCCCCACCAGCAATGAAGGAGGGTTCCTTTTTTACCACAGTCACAACAGCATTTGCCACTGTTTGATTTCTTAATGATTGCCATTATTTCTGGAGTAAGATAGAATCTTAATATTGTTTTAATTTGCATTTCTTTAATGGCCAGAGAATTGAACATTTTTCATATATTCGTTGGCCATTTGTATTTCTTCCTCTGTGAACTGTCGGTTCATTTCTCTTGCCCACTTCTTGAATTATAGATAGTTTAATTTTTTTAAGTTCTGTGTATATTTGAGACAGTCTTCTGTCTGAAGAGTAGCTGGCAAAAATGTTTCCCATTCTATAGGTTGTCTCTTCACTTTACTGATTAAATCTTTTGCTATACAGAAGCTTTTTAGTCTGATAGAACTGCTATTTCTTGTGTGATTGAGGTTTTGTTTAGAAAATCCTTTACTACACCTGTGTCTTCAAGTGTTTTGCCTATTTTACCTTCTAGAAGGTTTAATGTTTCTGTTTTAGTGTTTAGATCTTTAATCCATTTTGATTTTAATTTAGGGTTTGGTGAGAGATAAGGGTCCAATTTCAATTTTTTGGACACAGATAACCAGCTTTCCCAACACTACTTGTTGAATAGACTATTTTTCCTTTAACATGTGCTTTTGGCCCCTTTGTCAAAGATCAAATAATTGAGTACATCTCGTGAGATTTCTGTATCCCCAGTTCTGTTCCACTGATCCATATGTCTGTTTTTGTTCTAGTACCATGCTGAATTTTATCACTATTCCTTGCAGTATATCTTGAAGTCAGGTATTGCTATAAATCTTGCTTTACTCTTATTGTTCAAAGTTACTTTTGCTATTCTGGGTTTCTTCTTGTCCATATGAATATTAGGATTGTTTTCTCTAGATAAAGTATGGTGTTGACATTTTGATTGGGGTGTGTAGTAGTTTTGGAAGTATGGCCATTTCACAATATTTTTTCTGCCTACCCAGGAGCAGGGGACATCCTTCCATTTTCTGATGTCCTTTTCAATCTCCTTCATAAGACTACTGTAGTTGTCTTTGTAGAATTCTTTCATGTACTTCCTTAGGGTAACTCCTAGGTATTTCATTTTCCTTGAAGTGACTGTGAATGATATTGTTTTCATCATTTTCTTCTCATACCATTCATTGTTGGTGTACACAAATGCTAATGCTGAAGTTGGTTATTCATTCTGAGAGTTTTTTGGTGAAATCATTTGGGTCTTCTATGTAGAGTATCATATCATCTTGAAATAATGATAATTTGAGTTCTTCCTTTTATAAACATACCCCTTTTATTTCTTTCTCTTGCCTAATTGCTCTGGTTAATGTTTCAAGTACTATGTTGAATAGAAGAGGTCAAAGTGGACATCCTTGTCTTGTTCCTGATTTTAGAGGGAATGCTTTTAGATTTTCCCCATTTAGTATGATTCTGGCTATTGGTTTGTCATAAATAGCCTTTACCATATCATATGGTCTTTATATATGTATTTTCTTCAGGATTTTCATCATGAAGTGGTGTTGGACTTTGTTTAAAGCCTTTTCTGCATCTATTGATATGATCATGTGGGTTTTGACCTTGCTCCTGTCTATATGATGCATTATGATGATTGATTTACATGTGTGGGAACATCCCTGCATCTCTGGGATGAAACCTACTTGATCATGATGTATGATCTTTTTGGTAATGTGCTGCATTCTGTTTGCTAATATCATTGAGGATTTTTGCATCTATGTTCATTGAGATTGGCCTACAGTTCTCCTTTTCAGTTGGGTCTTTATCTGGTTTGGAGGTCAGGGTAATACTGGCTTTCATAAATGAATTTTGGAACACTCCATCCCTTTTGATTTCTTTGAAGAGCTTGAGGAGTATTAGTGATATAACATCCTTAAAGGTTTTGTAGAATTCATCAGTGAATGCATCAGGTCCTGGGCTTTTTAAAGTTGGTAGATTCTAAGTTAGTATTCTATATGTCATATATTAGTCAAGTTTGAGAGACCCTCTTCTGCACCAGGGTTTCCCAAAGATAGTTGTGTGGAATGCTATTCCTAGGAAATGATGAATAATAAAAATGTATTCACTAACCAGTAAGTTTAGGAAATGTACAGCTCCTTTCCAGAAATGTACATTGTATTAAAAAATCTCTACATGAGAAAATAGATTATTTTTTCTCACAGTTTTCCAAAATTATTTTTACTGTATGAAGCCATTTTTCATGGAACAACATTAAGGGCTTACAAAGTTCTACAAAACACAGTTAAGAAAAATTGTCCTTAAGTGCAGTGGCCCAGGCGTGTAGTCCCAGATCTTCAGAAGGCTGAGACAGGAGGATTACTTGAGCCCTGTAGTTCAAGATCACCCTGGGACACGTATTAAGAACCTGCCTCAGAGGGGAAAAAATTATTCTAGACTAGAGAAAAGCTGGTTGCATACTTTCCTGTGAAGAGAAAATAAAAGTAGCAAAATCAGAGATTTTAAAAAGGATGTTCATTAAGGAGATTCGCCTATAGTTCTCTTTTTCAGTTGGGTCTTATCTGGTTTTGGGATCAGAGTGACACTGGTTTCCATAAATGGATTTGGGAGCACTCCATCCTTTCAATTTCTTTGAACAGCTTAAGGAGTATTGGTGGTAAAACATCCTTAAGGTTTTGTAGAATTCAGCAATGAATCCATCAGATCCTGGGCTTTTTCACTTGGTAGACTCTTTATTACTGAGTTAATATCATTGCTTGTTGTTGGGTTGTTATTTCTTCTTGGGTTAGTTTTTTTAGTTTGTGTCTAGGAATCTGCCCATGTCTTCAAAATTTGCTAATTTGTGCGAGTATAATTTTTTGAAGTAGTTACATCTTCTGGATTTTGAGAGTGTCTGTTGAAATTTTACCTTTTTCATTTCTAATTGCATTGATGTGAATCTCTTCTCTTTTTCCTCTTTGTGAGTCTGGCTAAGGGTTTATCTATTTTTTTCTAAATTCTTTTCTTGGCACATTCTAGGTATACAATTCGTTTACATTCATCATTGGGTGCTTGAACCTGTTCATGATGCATCTTGGTTCTTATTTTTTCCCGTTACCTGAGGATCCTTCAAGCACTTCCTCCTTCCCTACTTACAGAGACTTTGTTTCCATTTTTTTCTTTTCTAATAATTTTTCCTTTCCCTTCTTTCCTTTCCCCTTCTCCAGCCACTTCCCCTACCCTGTTGAACCCTTTCTTCCTATTTCAAATGACCAATTATTCATTTTAATCATTTTCATCCTTATTTACACTATCAGTTTCTCACACTAGAGAAATTATTTGGTATTTACACGTGTGTCCTATTTATTTCACTTAAGAGTATGGCCTCAAT